ACAAGCACACGGGGGAGGTAACGAGCCCCAGGACACGGCCCGGCGCAGGGGCCCGTGCAGCGGCGGCCCCCGGGCCCACAGGGCCGCAGGCCACGTCTTTGCAAGACGTGCTCAGCTAGGGCGCCCGGGACCGCAGGAGCGAACCAATCATGCCTTAGGTTAGGGGAGGAGCTGCGGAGTTAGACAAAAAGTTCTGGGACCGGGGCGCGCTGGCCACGCGCTAGGCGTTTACCCAGCAACTTTTGTCTTTTTCACTTTGAGTCTTGGCCAATCCACCACCTTCCCATAATCTGCAAATCCGGGCACGGTTGGTAGTCCCCCTTCCAACAGAGACCTGCCTCCTGGAACTGGTTGGCGGGGTAACGTCTAAGTACTGCAGGTTTTGCGAGCAGAGCAGCGTGCATTCCTTAACATAACGAGAGAGAGAACCGTGAACAAAACAGGCGCTGCTTCTGTTGTTCACGGACCGTATGCCTTAAGCAGGACAGACAAAGGAATGGGGGGCGGGGAGGAGATGCAGGACTGCTGGAGCGTGTCCAGGCAAGGCCCCTCTTGACCGGAGTGAGAAGGAAAGGATCCAGCCACGCAGACATTGCCATGCAGACACGTTTGAGGGGGAAACGGTCCAGCGGAGAGAACCGGAGGGAGAGCGGGTGGTCTTGGGGGTGGAATGCAGGCCACTGTGACTGGGTGGGACCGTGCAGGAGGCTGAGAAGCAGGCCTGGTGGGACCATTTGTAAGCCAGGGTGCAAAAGGGTATGGAGTTTGGGTTTTATTTTGAGGGCAGTGAAAGACTTTGGAGGGTAACAGTAGAGGCCAAGGAATCTACCTAGTTTCCAGGTTTGGGATGGAGCTGGAGGCCCTTTCTTTCTTAAGCCAGAGGCCCACCACAGTCCCTACCTTCGCTCCTAGCACCTACCTAAGTTGGGGCCACTCATCCATGTGGCCTCATGTTTCCCATCTCCTTACCCTGCCCCGCATGTGAAGGCTGACCCTTTCATTCTTGGGACTGTCTCGAGGCTTTTCCCTCCTCACTGACCCGTTTCGTTGTCATCTCTTCTGCCTTTACACCCGTCACCCAGCTCCCTGGCAGTCCTACCAAGCGACATCCATCGTGCTCTGCCTCCCTGTCCTTCCTCTTGTCCATCCTGGCCCCCGGATTCTGGGCTCTGTGTTCAGGATGTGCAGTTAGAGCTTACCTGCCCTTCTAGACACATGCACCGTGTTTGGGGTCTCGGCACCACCAGCTTCCTTCGTACAGGTTGAAAGACCTGGAGTCATCTTTGTTGTCTCAAGTCTCACGTTGATTGACTTGGCAGATATGGATGGGGCTGACCCCATGACAGGAGCTGTGCAAAGTCCTGTGGCTCTGCCTCTAGTAATCCAGCTCGCCTGCCTTCCTGTCCGTGTGCTTTGCTATTAGTACCGCCATTTGAGACCTTGGCACCTCCTTCTGGGACTGTCGTGGTGGTACATGTTCCATATTAAATCCACAGAACTGGTTATTCGAGAACATGTTTAGGCTTTTCCCGTAGGTTCAGAATGGAGTGCCCTCCTCCCAACCACTGGGTCTCAAGGGGTTGTTTACCCTCGGGCTGCGAGCTTTGCTCAGCCCTGGCACCCGTGAGCCTTTTCAGGTGTGCCACATTTTCCTGTAGCTGTGCCAGGCCCTCTCTTCGCTGGGCGTGTCTGGGATGAGGGAGGACACGCACGTCCCTCTTCCCGGGCTTTGGATGGGCGCACCGGTGCCGTGCTGGAGGTCTGTGCACGGGTCACGGGGCAGCAGACGAGCAGCCTGAGCGGGGCGCGCACCCGAAGCCGGCGCTGGGAAGGCCACCCGCTTGTCACAGTTGCTCTTCACGGAGCCAGACCTGCGGTGGCCATGCCAAGAAGCTGTGTGACTCCACACAGCGCAGCCTGCCTGGCCTTGGCGTGGCGGGTGCTCGGCCCTTAGCGCAAACCAGCACCGGACCCAGAGCCCGTGGCCTTGCTCACTAGACGTTTTAGTAACGTCTTTAAATCATGCCAGAATTGACTCATTTTTTTCCTTTCCTTTCTGCCAGAGACCTTTTGTTTGTGACTATGAGGGGTGTGGCAAAGCCTTCGTCCGGGACTACCACCTGAGCCGCCACGCCCTGATTCACACGGGAGAAAAGCCTTTCGTGTAAGTAGAGAGCTCTTTTCAGGCCCCCGAGGTGCTTGTGTTTGGCACGTCGACCTGCCATTGCTCATTAGTGAGCTCCTTCGTTTGCATCGGCCGACACACGTGGAGACTGGGTTTTGACCGTGTGGCAGGGAATGGGGGTTTTGTGGGTCGTTTGTAATAACTCTGAGTGTAAGTTAATCTGAAGCTCTCTTGCGTTTACACCCTCTCCTTTTAGAATATATGCCAAGGGGCACATATTAGTGGCCTGCCCACCAGGAGGGCCGGGTTAAAGTACATCAACACAGCGGAATACTATACAGCTAAGAAAAATGAATGCAGATGGTCTCTATGAGATAGTAAGAAAACCTCCAGAGCATATTAATCGAAAAACCAAGGTTCAGGAAAGTGTGTGATGAGGGCTACCGTTTTGTGTGTGTAACAAGGGAGGGGACAGACAGCGAGAACTTATATTCATTTCTGTTTGTATAAAGAAACCCTAAAAGTTACGTAAAACCGAAAACGTCATCTGTCTTGGGAGTGGTGGGGTGTGCTGGTTGGGTAGGGGTAGAAGGAAGCATTACGCAACTATATCCCTTTTGTGCTTTTTGGTTTCTGAACTAAGTTTGTTTGTTTGTTTTTTTAAGTACACTATTTAAAAATAATTCTTTCCCTTAAGAAAAACTGGGGCTGGGACAGATGCACAGGATGAATTAGGAAGGTGAGGCGTCTTCCCGCTGGAACAAGACACCTGTGTGGTGGTACCTTCCACTCTCTCCAGCTAGTTCCGGATCCCCGCGTCTGCTGCTTGCCGGACGGTGTTACCTGCTGTCCCCCTGGCTCCTTGAATTGCACGTGGCCCAAATCCCCCCGTCCAGTCTGAGCTCGCTTTCCCTTTGGCCGTTTCCTCCCTCGTTCTTGTCAGGTGGCATCACTGTCCTGGTGGTGACAGATAAGGCTGCTCCTCCGGATGCCTCATTCCGCTCTCCAGCATGTAGGTCGTCAAGTCCTGTCTGTGACCCCTCAAGTCCCTCTCCCCTGCTCCAGCTGCCACCGTCTCATGTCAGGCCCCACTCCTCACTGGAATGACTTCCTCTGTCCCCAGACCAGGTCCCCCGCATTTTCCTCGGGTGGCCTCTCTTCTGAAAACACAGTGCTTTTAATCACTGCTGACACGGTGAAGTCCAGCTTCCTGGTATGTCGTGTAAATGACCTTTGCGATTTGACCTTTTCCTGCTTATCTCGTCCCGTTCACTTGACTCTTAGACATGAACTTGTGGTCCAGCTCTGCTTAACTGACCCGCCGCCTCCCCACTGGCCCCTCGAGCTATGCCAGGGTCTTCAGTGCCCCTGTGCTTGCCGCTTCTGCCGGCCCCGTCCCGCTGCCCCCCAGCCGTGTTAGGTTAGGGGCCGCGTCAGGATGTGCGTCCAGAGGGAGCGACAGCCCGGCTTTTGGGCTCACACAGCACAGTCTCTTTTTCTCCTGGGGCGAGCAGTCAGGGGCCGCTCCTCCGTCGGCAGGACCTGGGCTTCTCACTCGTCCCTGCCATCATCTAGCTGCGTGTGCATACGCGTCGCAGCCACCAGGATGGAGGAAGGGCCAAAGGTGCTGCCGTTGTAGACACCGTGGGAGCTGAGCAGGACGGACCGAAACACAGCCACGTGGCTGCCCCAACTGCAGGGGAGGCAGGAAGGAGCTCTATTCTGTTCCCGCGGTCGAGGGTACCACCCGTTGGGACTTAGAGTGGTTTCTGCCACAGTGCCCCTCCCGCGCCCCCTCCGGGCACACCTTCCACTGTCACTGTCACAGTCTCTTTCTCCACCTGGCCCTGCAGACAGCACAGAGCTTCATAGACGTGTTCTTCCACATTCATCAGAGATGATAGATCAGGGCTTGTAAAGAAAGCTCTGCCTCATCCTCAGGCTCATGAAAACTCATCACAAACAGCACGTGTTAAAAACAAAAAGAGCCAACTTCACAAAAAATTTAGATAAATCTAGGCCAAGATGTAGAAACCTTTATGAAGGAGAAACAGAATGGCTCGGTGATAACGCCAGAAGCAATGATACTTCATGGTTCTGTGCTCACCTCTCACGAGAAACTGAAAACAGTGTTTTTTTAGGGCTTTTTGGAAAGACACTGACATTTCAAGCAAAATGAAGGCCATCAGGTTGTAAACCGAGAAGTTTAGCGTGAACACGGCTTCTGCCTCGGCGGGGCGAGGGGCTTCCTCTTCCCTGCCCAGCGCACCAAGGCCGTCTGGCGCCAGGGGCCTGATTTGAGAAGCCTGGGGCGAGGTGCGTGTCGTTACACGCTGAGCACGTCACCGCCGAGGGGCCCGCGTGGTATGGCTCCCCTCCCCGGAGCTGGTTAAAGGCCGTTTTCTACTGTGCTTTGGAATCATTAGCTTTTATAAAGTCTCCCTTCCCTTGGTGTGTTAATGTTTTGGTTTATGTGATTTCTCGCAGCTGTGCGGCTAGCGGCTGTGATCAGAAGTTCAACACAAAATCCAACTTGAAGAAACATTTTGAACGCAAACATGAAAATCAACAAAAACAATATGCAGTAAGTACGATTTTATGTGCTAAACGTTTTTATGCTTATTGTCTATGTTTCTCAAATTTTCACCATCCAAATTTTGTCCGTCAGACACCTGAATTTAGTGCGACACGGCTGTCATAATGATGGTGTTATCTTGAAAGCAAACATTGTGCTAACTACGTTTTTGCTAGATGACCCCAAATGAAACATTTTTGCTCTTTCAAACGTTTCTCTCCAAAGCTTCTCGATGTAGAATTTCAGTAACTAAAGGTGTGCAGGTAGCAAGTCTATAAGCTCCACGGCATTTTGTGTCTGGAGAAGGTTCTGTGAGGCGCTGTTCTTTGATTCTTCTCGAGACTGACTGACTGACCTTTACCGAACAGTGCAGTTTCGAAGGTTGTACGAAGACCTTTAAGAAGCATCAGCAGCTGAAAACACACCAGTGCCAGCACACCAACGAGCCGCTGTTCAGGTAGGCGCTTCACGCCGGGGCGTCCAGTTGTCAGTGTCAGGCGGGAATGAGATCAGGAGGCAGAGTTTGGCCGCAGGTGTTCGGGCGGTGTGTGTGTTAGTCGACGTTTTCCTGTCCGTGTGTGCAGCGTACGTCCGTTTACACATTGGGGCACTTCACGAGTTCCGTTTTGCTTCTGATCTCTAAGAGAAGTATTTAGTGTGTTTCTGGATGATCTGTGAGGTTAGTACAGCGGTGGTTAAGCCTGAAGGAAGGGCTAAGAAAGAACCAAACGGAGCCTGCTCAGTGACGTGCAATGTCGTAAGGACACTAGCTACCCTTTCCCTGTAGGACAGAACGGGGGTGGGGACGTGGCCTGCCTAGAAGGGGTTTCACAAGGGATGTTGAGGGCGACAGAAACCCTGGAAGAGGCTTGCAGAGGGCGTCGAGGAAGCCGGGCCACCCGCTCAGACATCACTTGGAGGCGGTGGCCATGTACCCTCTGCCACTTGCCCAGGCGGCCCCGGCCGCGCCCCGCCTCCCGTGCAGGCCGCTTGTCCTGGCGCTGCTGGTGGCTTTAGCTCAGACGTGGCGGTGCCTCCACTGCTCACCAGAGGCTGGTGCCCCGCTGCCGTGTGTCCGTCCACACCAGCCCGGCGAGGCAGTGTCAGAAAAACTGGACACACACGATTTGGGCGAGTCTAGGGGTTTCCCGAGGCCATGCTTTCTAGCCATGAACGGTGTATTTTCAGAAGCATAAAGATGAAAACAGTGTTTAATTTGATCACATGTGCCCCCCCCGCAAAATGTAATGTGACTGTTTTGTTTGTTTTGCCCGAAGCCTGATAAAATAACTTGAACTTCAGCCACCATCAGGTCTGCATTTTATAGCTCATGTTCGCTGGCTGGGGGGGAGAGCAGGCCCTGGCGGGAGGCACGGCGGGGACAGAGCCCTCCCCGGCCCAGGGGGCTGACGTCCGTGTCTCGCTGACCCAGGTGCGCCCACGAAGGCTGTGGAAGACACTTCGCCTCGCCCAGCGGGCTCAAGCGGCACGGGAAGGTCCACGACGGTGCGTGCGGGCCTCGGTGACGGTGACAGTGACGGTGACGCTCTCCGACTGACCGCTGCCAGCGGGGCGTAGTTCTCACTGCTTGGCGCCTCTTCCCCCCGGCTCCCTCCCCATGGCGCGGGGCCGGGCGGGTGCTGTTCTGCCCGGTCACGGTTTAGACTCTGGCCAGAGGCTCCCCGTGTCCGTCCTTGGTCGTCCGTGTGGATGTTCGTCGGTCACAGCAGGCGCCCGGTTACGCCGTGTCCTCGCTCCTTCCCGTTGTTTCAACCTCTTCTGCTTCCGGCCCGTGCCACCCTGTCCCTGTGAGCGGTCACAGGGCTTAGATAATAGTTTGGAGTTTTTGGAGCAATGAGACCGTAGCTTTTCGCCCAAAGACTTGATTAAACTAAGTCCTTGGCTCCATTATGCTTCCGTGAAAGACTTCTGACGTCTATGTTCCAATTTCCCAAGCCTTAGAATTTATGGGATCTTTTTTTTTTTAAACAAGAGCCTGGCAGCTGAGAGCGATGGGCAGCCTCCTCTCTGGCTTCTGTCCCGTGTGCAGTTGGGTGAGACCGGGCTGGCTGGTCCCAGGCCGATTCACCTGATTCCGCTGCTTTGTGCAGCGTCCTCTGGGTTCTGGTTCCTTCTCTCCTCGGCCGTGCCCGCTGCTTCCCTTGCGTAGGAAACGTGCAGATGCTGGGGGGAGGGGGAGAAGTGACCGCAGAGGTCAGTGTTGGCGGTTTGCCGAGGACAGAGGACCACCTGAACTTGCTGAGGGGGAAAGGCAAGCACAGAGCAGGGAGGGCCGCGGGAGGGGGACTGAAGCGGCCGGGGGGCCACGCGTGTCCCCAGCTTACTTGGGACAGCGGGGGAGGGAGAGGCAGCCTTCTCGGGAAGCCCGCTAAAGGAGAGCCCCGAGGAAGTGCGTCCCGGGCCACCGGTCGGTCTCGCTGTCACACGCCCTTCTCCGTTTCCCCTCCTCCCTCTCAGGCTCGGGAACAGGACACTGCGGGGCAGCGGGGGACGTGTAGGCACGTGCCCGTCCTTCTAAATTCCGATGGGTCTGCACTGACCCGTCACAAAAGGCAACGCGCCACTCTGCTTTTCTTTAAATAGGCTACATATGTCAAAAGGGGTGCTCCTTCGTGGCCAAAACATGGACAGAGCTGCTGAAGCACATGAGAGACGACCATAAAGGTAAGACGGACGCGCGGCTCGGTGGCAACGTTCGCCCTTCGAGAACTGGTTCCGTGCGCGTTTGAGAGACTGAGATATGAAATACGTGCTGCGAAATGACAGGTGTTTGGTGAGATGCGTCAGCTGTCCGTCAGATGGGCAGACACCTGTGCTCCCAGGTTCGGGAAGAGCCCCGAGTCGCTCAAGGCCCACGCGGGCACTGAGCGTTTTTAAAGGTTTGGCAGGTAAAGGGTCCTGGGAGGCACTGGTGTCCCGTGGGACAGTTTGGGAGGCAGCGCCCTTGTGCCGGAGGACCAGGAAGGAAACTGGTCTGTTAATTCCCTCCCACTGCCCACGGCCACCATGCTGAGGACCCCGGCCCCTCGGCAAGGAGACAGAGTGGCTGGGTAACACGAGGGCTTGGGAGGACTGAGATAAACGTTCAATAAAAACGAGTCCGTTTCTTTTGAAATTTCTCATTTATGTTTAATCGTAAGGTTTTGGGCATCAAATGGGTTACTTATATGTTGAATATTAGTGCTTTCTGTGTGGTAACACCTGGAGAAATTGGTCAAAATTTTTTGTCTACTTCGCCAGAGGAAATCATATGCGAAGTGTGCCAGAAAACATTCAAACGCAAAGATTATCTGAAGCAACATATGAAAATCCATGCCCCGGAAAGGGACATGTGTCGTTGTCCCCGAGAGGGCTGTGGAAGGACATACACGACCGTGTTCAACCTGCAGCGCCACATCCTCGCTTTTCACGAGGAGTGGCGCCCGTTCGTGTGCGAGCACACTGGCTGCGGCAAAACATTTGCAACGAGAGTGAGTCCCCCCACATGTCCAGGGTCCCCAGGGGCCCCGGGTCCCACGACGGCGGCACAGGGCCTGTGGTGGGCCAGCTGCAGTAGGGCCCTCGGGCCTTCTCCTCCCGTTGGCCAGTGGCCCTGGACCGGCAGCACCAGCGCCACCTGGAACTTGCTGGAAGCGTAGATCCCCGCGCCCCCTCTGGACCCACTGAGTCAGACTCGGGGGGCTGGGGCTGGCAGGGTTCATTAGCCATCCCCGTGGTGCTCGCGTGGCCTGTGGTACCGCAGGCTCGGCTCTCCTGAGAGAGCTGCTATCTGGGGTGTCCATTTAGACGGTCCTGTAGGGACTGAGAAGGGAGGTGGGCAGCAAGGACGTGAGGGACACCAGAACCGGGAATCTAGTTGCATCTGGGTGTGATTCCAAGAGCTGACGAACAAGACCCTCGTTGGAGGGGCCTCTACCCTCGCAGACACTTGGTCGGCGGCTGTTCTCGTGAGCACTCGGAATCATCACGGATCAGAGACAGAAGGCTGGCTTGGAGCTGGCAGGGCTAGCGTGGCCATCGGGGCCAGCACGACCTTGATCAGGTGTCCGTTGGCTGGCGTGCTGTGGACAGAGCTTCAGTTAAAAGAACCTCCTTCCGCTTTTTGCCCGACCCCTTACTAGTGAAACCGTCAACACGCCACCGGTGGGCGACACTGTAGGTCCGTCCTGGGTCGTCAGAAGAGGCAGTGGTCCCAGGCCGGGGTTGGAGGAAGCGTCTGGCTGTTGTGGGGACCCTTACAGGTGGAGGTCACGTCACTCAGAACATGACAAAGAAAGCTGAGCAGGTTTCATGTTACTAGACACCAGATGGCGATGTCTTAAAAACGTAACCTATGTCCTTTCCTCCACTGCAGCAAAGTCTCATGAGGCACGCCGTCGTGCACGACCCTGACAGGAAGAAAATGACAGTCAAAGTAAGTGGAGGTGACTTTGGCGAAGTGTTGTTTTTAAAACAAATTGCTTGAGCCGGATGCTGTGCGCGGAGAGAGTGTTCAGCTCCTTGCTACCATGCGGGTCTGCACTGCTCT